TATTGAAGGCTGAACTGAAGTCCACAAATAGGATCCTTGCGTAATTCCCAGGTCTGTCGAGGTGTTGCAGGATGTAATGCAGTCCCATGTTGACTGCATCATCCACAGACCTGTTTGTTCTGTTGGCAAACTGGAGAGGATCCAGCAAGGGTCCAGTGATGTCCTTCAGGTAGGCCAGGACCAGTCGCTCAAATGACTTCATGACCACAGACTTGAGAGCGCCAGGTCTGGAGTCATTAAGTCCAGTGATTTGGGTTTTTTTGGGGACCAGAATGATGGTGGAGCATTTGAAGCAGCAGGGAACTTCACACAGCTCCAGAGATCTGTTGAAGATCTGTGTGAAGACGGGGGCCAGTTGGTCAGCACAGATTTTAAGACCGGCAGGTGAAACACCGTCTGGGCCTGAAGCTTTCTTAGATTTCTGCTTCCTGAAGACCCTGTTCACATCCTCTACACAGACCTTAAGCGCAGGTTGAATGGTGGGGGAGAGAGGGAGGGGGGTTGCAGGGGGGATAGGTGAATGTGTGAAGTGCAGATCAGAGCGGGTGCTGGGTGTCAGTCTGGCCTTTTCAAATCAACAGTAAAACACATTCCGATCGTCAGCCAGTTGTTGATTCTCCACAGACTGTGGGGGTGGTGTCTTGTACAAGGTGATGTTTTTCAGACCGGTCCATACTGACACCGGTTGTTGGCTGAAAACTTTTTTCTCAACTTTTCAGAGTAGTTCTTTTTAGCTACTGATCTCCTTTGTTAGTCTGTTCCTGGCCTGGTTATACAAGATTTTATCCCCACTTCTGTAAGCATCCTCTTTGGCGTGACAAAGCTTTTTGAGTTTCCCTGTAAACCACGGTTTATCATTATTGAATGATAAGAATGTCCTGGTGGGGATGCACATATCCTCACAGAAACTGATATATGAAGTTACAGTCTCCGTGAGCACATCCAGATCGGTGTCAGCAGCTTCAAAAACACTGCAATCAGTGAGGTCGAAACGGGCATGTAAATCCCGCTCTGCTTCATTAGTCCATCTTTTAACAGTCCTTAATACAGGTTTAGCTGATTTCAGTTTCTGCCTGTAGGTCGGTGTAAGATGAACCAAACAGTGATCAGAGAGTCCCAAAGCTGCCCGTGGAACAGAGTGATATGCATCCTTAATTGTTGTGTAACAGTGATCCAATATATTACTGTCTCTGGTGGGACATGTAACGCGCTCTCTGTATTTTGGTAGTTCACAGGAGAGATTTGCTTTGTTACCGTTTTAGTCATTTTAGTTATTTGTTCGGCCAGCTGTTGCATTGCGGCACTCACGCACGCATCTGGAGGCACGTACACATTCACGAGAATGAAAGAGAAAAACTCCCGGGGAGAATAGAACGGTTTACAGTTTATGAAGAGTGCCTCTAAATTAGGAGAGCACATCTTCTTCAGAGTTGTTACATCTGAGCACCAACCTTCATTTATGTAAAAACATAGTCCACCACCTCTCATTTTCCCCGTTAACTCCGCAATGCGATCTGCTCTGAACAGCTGGTAGACCGGTAGATGACGCACGTTGTCCAGAATGGCTTCACTCAGCCAGGTTTCAGTGAAGCACAATGCAGCAGATTTTGAAATGTCCTTGTTTGTGCAGGTGAGGAGAAGAAGTTCATCCGTTTTGTTAGGAAGGGAATGAAGATTCACGAGATATATACTAGGGAGCACAGTTCGGAAGCCGCATTCGCGGAGCTTAACCAGCACGCCGGCGCATTTCCCTCTTTTCCCTCTAAACGCGCGTTTGACTAGGACCGCTGCCCCTCTGACCAAAACATCCAACAAAGCGTCTGAATAATCAAAAAACGGAAAAAATTGTCTGGTGTGTGTTGCCTTATGTCCAGTAGTTCGTCTCTGGTAAAACTGATAGTAAGAGAATGACTAAACACAGAACAAACCAACAAAAACAGTAATAGAATGGGAGCGTTCCACACCACGGCAGCCATACGCGGCGCCATCTTAAAACAAAAAGGGACATCTTAAAAAAAAAAAAAAGAAAAAAAAAAAAAGAAAAAAGAGAAATCAAGGGATGTTAATCACACACTTAGAAGAAAATGCAGGACTAAGGAGGTCCAAACAAAAAACACACACAAATTTGTAAACATCCTTGTGAAGACCTATTAAAGGGATAGTTCACCCTAAAATGAAAATTGTCGTTAATTGCTCACCCTCATGTCGTTCCAAACCTGTAAGACCTTCGTTCATCTTCGAAACACAAATTGTAAGATATTTTTGATGCATTCAGAGCTCTCTGACCCTCCCATAGACAGCAAGGATCCTTACACGATCAAGGCTCATAAACATAGCAAGGTGATCATTAAAATAATCCACGTGACATCAGTGGTTCAACCGTAATTTTACGAAGCTACGAGAATACTTTTTGTGCGCAAAGAAAAAATGCTGACACAGAACAGCATACGTTGTTAAAGGGGTCATATGATGTTGCTAAAAAGAACATTATTTTGTGTATTTGGTGTAATAAAATGTTTATGCAGTTTAAGGTTCAAAAAACACATTATTTTCCACATGCTGTACATTATTGTTTCTCCTCTATGCCCCGCCTTTCTGAAACTTCAGATTTTTACAAAGCTCATCGGTCTCAAAAGCGAGGTGTGCTCTGATTGGCCAGCTATCCAGTGCGTAGTGATTGGCCGAATATCTCAAGCATGTGACGGAAATTTTACGCCCCTTACCATTCTGTGATTCCCTGTCCAGCCGGAGTGACGAGACAAAAACATTAAAACCCATTATAAACGAGGCATTTGTTGCATCCAGTGGGGACATAATTACGGATTATAATGACTTGTACTGTCTTTTTACGCGTTGCATCGTGCCGGGCTTGAG